TTGTGGGCAGCCCAGCGCCTCTTGGGGGAACTGATCCCCCGGCCAGGCCCTGGGTTTGTCAGGACCAGGGACAGCGGCCGCGCCAGGGGGCTTTGGGGTGTGGTACCCATAAGAAGCTCTCCCTTCAGTGGATAGAGCCTCGGCCTGCGGACTGAAGGGTCCTGGGTTCGATTCTGGTCAAGGGCACGTGCCCAGGGTTGGGGACTTGATCCCCAGTAGGGGGCGTGCAGGAGGCAGCCAGTCAATGATTCTCTCTCATCATTGATGTTTCTCTCTCTCCCTCGCCCTTCCTCTCTGAAATCAATAGAATTTTTTTTAAAGGTTTCCCCAAATGAGTCTTCTTGGGTACCTGGTGCCTTCCTTCTTCCCGAAACAACCCCTCCTTGGCTGTCACCTCTTCCAGGAAGCCCACCCTGACTTGCCTCGGTACCGAGGCGTTCCTAGGGGCTGCCAACGGTTCCTCGCGGTTTAGTTCCCGTGCTGCTCCACCAGGTGTTCCCTGGGCCAGCAGGGCCAGCAGGCGGGGCGCCCGCATCTACCCAGCGCCCACTTGTGAAGATACAGGCCGCCTAACGCCCGCCCTGGGGCCGCGGATAGTGGCTGGGCTGCCCCTCCCGGGAAGGCGGGAAATCAGGCTCTTGGGTTGCCCAACATCCTGGTTTTATTTTAAATATTTATTGATGTCAGAGAGGAAGGGAGAGGGAGGGAGGAGAGAAGCATCAGTGATGAGAGAGAATCACAGATGGGCTGCCTCCTGCACGCCCCGCACTGGGCACCGAGCCGGCAACCGGGCTGTGCCCCGACCGGGAATCGCACCCTGACGTCCTGGTTCGCAGGTGGACGCTCACCCCCTGAGCCACGGCGGCCGGGCCCAAAGTTCTGTTTTTTTCAAAACAAGTGAAAACCTGAGTTTTTATGGAAATAACAGATTTTTAAATATTGACACCAAATGAAAATAAAGCATCTGAACGCGGTACCGGGCAAACGGACACGGCGGAGGGAATCCG